TTCAAAGAATTCTAAAATTCTAAAAAATTTTTTTAAGAATTCTAAAATTCTAAAATTCTAAAATTCTGAAATTCAAAAACTTTCAGAATAAAATATTCCAAATATCCTAAAAAAATCCTTAAAACTCCAAATTTCAAGATTACTGTACTTTTCGAGATCCTCTGCGTTTCTCCTATCTTCCTGGATGCTTTCTTATCTCTCTCTCATCATCTCTCTAATTCCATCCTAATTTCTTGGAACCGAAAATGATCATTATCTCGTTTTTTGTGTCTTTTTTCCTCCAAAAACAACAACTTTCCTATTTTTCCTCAATTCTTTCTTTTTCTGTTAAACAGATTCTTGCAATTTGAAGTGTTCTAGGCTACTGTAGCTCAATTTCAAGGCACATAACGGTCCAAATATTATTGAAAAGTAGGACATAATTATATCCATTTTGAAGCTCTCAAATTGGCAAATTTACCACAAAAAACTTCATCCAAATCGCTTGTAAACTGACAAAGTTACAGCTGTTTTTGTAAAAAGGCTATAGTGCCAGAGAAGCCAGACACACTGCGTCTTTATCCTCCAAACTCAAAGTGGGCGGAGCCTAGTCATGATTATACTCATTTTGACGCTCATGACGCTATTATTCCAAAAACATAGCTTTCATCAAAATTTAATGAAAACTGACAAATTTACAGTATTTTTGTTTTTTCCTTTAAAATTTGAAAATTTCAAAAATTTTCAAGCCATGTTTATACCCATTTTATAGCTCTTAAAACGCTGATTTCAAAAATCTAGGTTTCATTTGAATCTGATGAGAATTGACAAAGTTACAGTACTTTTTGTATTTTTTTTTCTTAAAATTTTGAACTTTTCAAATTTCCCGCCAAGAAACACTCACCACGATTGAAAACTGTATCTATTGTTGTTGATTAATGTCGAATTGCCGTCCATTTCTTTTTTAGGACGCAGAATTGCGGTAACGTCCGGATGATCATCGTCTACAGTAATCGTGGCTGGAAATTTCAGAATTTTAGGATTTTAAGGATTTTAGAATTTCTGAATTTCTGAATTTCTGAATTTCTGAATTTCTAAATTTCTAAATTTCTGAATTTCTGAATTTCTGAATTTCTGAATTTCTGAATTTCTGAATTTCTGAATTTTTGAATTTCTGAATTTCTGAATTTCTGAATTTCTGAATTTCTGAATTTCTGAATTTCTGAATTTCTGAATTTCTGAATTTCTGAATTTCTCAAATTTTGAATTTCTGAATTTCTGAATTTTTGAATTTCTGAATTTCTGAATTTCTGAATTTCTGAATTTCTGAATTTCTGAATTTCTGAATTTCTTGGATTTTTCGAATTTCTAGAATTTCTGAATTTCTGAATTTCTGAATTTCTGAATTTCTGAATTTCTGAATTTTTGAATTTCTGAATTTCTGAATTTCTGAATTTCTGAATTTCTGAATTTCTGAATTTCTGAATTTCTGAATTTCTGAATTTCAATTAAATTTTTATTAAAATCGCCTAAAAACTGACAAAGTTACAGCCAAAGTGCCAGAGAAACCAGACAGGCTGCGTCTCTATCCCCCAAACTCAAAGTGGGCGGAGCCTAGTCATGTTTATACTCATTTTGAAGCTCTTGACTTCTTGATTCCAAACATTTTGTTTTCAACAATATCCGATTGACACTGACAAAGTTACGGTACTTTTCATGATTTTTCGAAAAATTCAGTAAATATCAAATCTAGTCATGTTTATACTCATCTTGAAGCTCTCATCTTCTTGATTTCAAAAATCCTGTTTCCATCGCAATCCTACAAAAACTGTCAAAGTTACGGTACTTTTTATGTCATAGGCTCCAGAGACGCAGTGTGTCTGGCTTCTCTGACTCTCTAGCCTCCCAAATTTCTCCTCTTTTTTCTCTTTCTCCACCCCCGACAAGATTTTCAAGTGGACCGGCGGAGAGAGGGATAAACATATAAAACGGGCGGTCTCTGGTACTAATCCATCCGTGGCAGAAATGAGAAGAAATAAGAATTGAAAAGAATAATCGGAGGAAGAGGGGATGGAGGAAAATGGGTGGAACAGAAACATATCTATTTATTTTATAAATCTCTTTGGCATTTACAAGGCTTTTTGAATTCATAATTTTTTAATGAAAAGTTTAGCTTTTGTAGTTTTTTGAGATACTTATGCGTCTTTGAGCTTGGCGTGCGCTTCAGAGGGTGCCTCAACTTTAAAACCCGCATATCTCCAAAAGTAAAAAAGATACTCAAAATTTATTAACTATCGAAATGTGTGAAATTTTAAGTTGTTTATTTTTGTAGTCAACAAAATTCAAACAGCTTTTTTTTAATTTTTGAGATATGCGCCTTCAAAGTTGGCGCCTCCTCACTCCTCTCCCTCTCGGGGTGCCTCAACTTTAAAGGCGCACATCTCGAAAACCAAAAACGCAATAAAAAATTTGTCAATTGACAAAATGTGTGAAATGTTATACTCTACATTTTTGTTGTTGACAAAATTTTGATATCGTTTGTGTTTTTTGAGATATGTTGCTTTAAAGTTGCCGATGCTTCACCGCCTGGCGAAGTAGGGAATGGGGGAGGTTCCCCAGCTTTAAAGCCGCATATCTCAAAAACCAAAAAAGCAATAAAAAACTGTAACTTGTAAATTGTGTAAAATTTTATGTTCTAGGTTTTTGTAGTTTGTAGTTTATCTCTAGAAATTTCCGCTGTTGAAATATAGCGTTTTATAAAGTTGTTCCTCTCTGAAAAGTTGTGAAAATTGTGTCATGTGGTTTTCTTCAGATTTTTGTGCTAGATAAAAAAAAGAATTTTTGAAAAAAGTGAGGAAACTGGTTCTAAGACTACTGTAGAATTTCAAATTTTTTTAAAAAATTTTCTAAAATTTGGAAAATTGCAGTCTTCCAAGTAGGCCTCCCGTTCTGGGTGGCCCAACTTTAAAGGCGCATATCTCGAAAACCGTGAGAGTTATCAAAATTTTGTCAATCACAAAATTTTTCAAAATAACATTTTACATATTTAGTTAGTTGACGCATTTTTGATGACTACCGTAGTTTTTGAGATATGCGTCTTTAAATTTGGCGCGCGCTTTAGGGTAGCGCCCCCCTCCCCCTCTCACTCTCAGGATGCCTTAACTTTGACGGCGCATATCTCAAAAACTAGGTTAGCTATCAAAGTTATGTGAACTATCAAAATATGAAGAACTCTATGTTCTACATTTCTAAAATCAACAATTTTTGATA